AAGTACCGCACTGAAGAAATGGCAAGGTTGTACTGGAACATGACAACCCACTTTAGAAACTGCTGTTCTACATAGGAAAATGTGGGCATCATTGGAGATGTATGGAAGATGTCTGTGGGGTTGTCTTCAGCAGAGAACTGCTCCATCCTAACAGCCTGCTCTAACTTGTACACCACAACATTTCCAACAGCACTCAACTCCCTGGGATTTCTGCTGGAGAATGCTTTTGGCCCTCCACAAATGCCACCAGGAGATTCAAAATGGAGCTCAAGCGTAAGAAAAGGCAGTTGAAAATTGAGCACTTTACTCTCCCCCTCAGAAAAGGATAAACAGGACTGTAATAAGAAAATTTGGTTTGTACATATATTAATTTCAATCAAATCGATGCTGAACAACTCATATTTACCTGGAAGATTGCAGCCTTCCTGTCTTTTATTTTGCTATTTATTAAAGCAAATACACTTCTCTAATACAGAGACCAATTTCACACATCATATCCACAATAAAAAAAGGAATAACTTGTGCTACCTTTTTGGGTGTAGAACATCTGCTTTATAAACACAAGTTCACAAGTTGCACACAAGGAAGTTAACATTAAGGAATGTCCTGGAAGCCTAGCCCTGGAAAAGACTCAACATAGTTGCCTGCTTTCCAGCTGAATAAACTACTCATGCGGTTTTATCTACCAAATTCTCCTAGACTGCTCACTTATCAGTTGATTACCAAGAAACCCAGTTGCATAGCAAAGTAAAAGAAAAAAAAATATAAGAAAAACCTTCTAACCTTAGCTTTAGAAGAACAGGCAAATATTAAAATGGATTGATTTTTAATGTCAGCTATTTAAAAAATATATATCTTTTAACAAGCTATTTAAGCAGTAGCAGAGAAAGAAGAAACTGATCTATACTGATCTCATGATTTTTTGTCAAACATGATTCAACAGTTCACCTTGGATCAAGTGCAGTATTTAATACAGTATCATTTGACCAACACGCTGCTGAAGACAGAATGATTCTATCCAGTAGATATTTTGATCTTTAAGTATTAGTATGATCCTTGAAATATGAACATTTAAGTCCCATGACACTGAAGTTTTTCATAACGAATGAGATAAGGCATAACTATACTACAACAAAGTCTAGCATCAGTTTATTACTTAAATCTTTGCCTTGCTTTCTACTTGCTAAGGTTCCAACAAGAAGCCCTCTCTGCTAGGATTTCTCCGAGAACATGTCCTGTCGTACAGGGTTGGTTACCTTTTCAATTATCAGGGGAAAGAATTCATCTGCTTCCTTAAAGTAGAGCCAATGAACCTTTCTAGTAATGGTCAATTATGAAAAGACTCACTTTTCACTTCATGATAAACTAGACATTTATGTCCTCATCATGACTGCTTTCTGTGGCAAAAAAAAAAAAAAAAAAGGTGTGCTGTACAGTTCATGATGAAGAGGGAAAATACCAAAGAATTTGCTTTTTTTCCCCTCCAACTTCTTCAGGATTCTTCCTTGATTTTCTTCATTTTTTTATTTAGTCCTTTCTTCCATGTCACTGCTTTAAGTTTACTCACATTTTAATGCAGCTGACAAATCATAAATTTCGTATATACAAAATATTTCATACTCTCACATGCTAGTAAAATATAAAAAAATCAATACGGAAACAAATCCTACATCACCTAATAATCATTGTTACTGGCTTAGCCTAGATAAGCAAACCCCTTGGGACAGAGGCTAACAAACTTCTCCAATTTCACAGCCTATTGAGGTTTTCTGGTGGGCTTTCTTTTTGTTGTTTATTTGTTTTAAGAAATACGTCACCATATTCCTTGTCTATTGTCTCCACTAAAAATAAGACACCTACGTTATGCCAAAGAGTTTCATAAGATTTTAAGAGGCAGAAAGAGGAACGAACTACTAAGTTTGCCCACTTTACCCTGGTTTGGAAGTCACATTTTTCTTTCTGAAAGAATCAACAGGCGTTACAGCAGTACTCTACAATACTCCACATCCTGGTACACTGACATTAATATCACCATTTAACTTTCTCAGACTTGGTGTGTTCAAGGTTATATTTCACCATACTCACTAAAATTGGGCAACTATGAATTGATAGTTGAAGAAAAATCCAAAATGTGCCAAATATGAGCTGCACTTCAGTTTAAATCCCATTCAAGCATCACTCTGTGTACACATTCTGATGCATTAAAATAACTGCCTTAAGCTTGATGCGCTTTCGGGTCGGATCGCCCACCGGCCACTGGGAATTTAGTGAAAATAACAGTGCTCTGCAGCCAGTGGCACCCTTTCTACAGGTTCTCCGAGGGAAGCTTTAATTTGTGCTTAGGGCTTCATGGGAGCCCTACCAGTAAAGGTGCCCTGGGGACAGGCTGAATTCGTATCACCGTAACACTCACGCGTGTGCGTGCGCAGGAGGCCACACCGCTCACAGGTAAGACGGACAAATCAAACGGTAGCATCCCCCCCCCCATCAGCTTTTCTATTATCTGCCCCACTTTGTGCCAATTTCCTCCAGCTTCCCCAACACCTCTTGCTTTGCTGTTCTTCCTTAAGACATGGGATGGGGATTTGTCAAAGTCAATGAGCACTTTATTACAGTGAGAGTGCTCAGTAATGAACAATTCAGCAATTTAATGAGATTCTGTAGATCTGTCTCCAGCCTGTCCATCAAGTTTCACTTCTATAAAGCACCCTGACACTAATCCTCTGGCATACCCAATCTTCACCCTGGGCTGAATATTAGATTCTTCCATGGTATATTGCATTACCACTATAACCTTAGCAAAAATGATGAACTTAACTACACTTGAGGCAATATAGCTGGTCTGATTTGATTTTCTTCTATTGGGCTGACTATGAGGGAATTACTTATTTACTAAGATAAAGCAAAAAAACAGTTTCTTATTGCCTTCTGAATGCCTAAATTGGTAAATATATATGTGTGTCTTTTAATTCATTCTGGGGACCTGGAATATTTATAGATATATATATATATTTATTCCTGGTTGTACAGACTGAATTAAAAAGACACACACGCGTTTTGCCTGCAGCAGAAAAGTAGTTTAAAAAAAATATTCTTCGGAACAGCATTAGTAACCTTTAGAGAGGCAATTATGATAACACTTAAATGGACAGTGTGGAGTTTGTTGTCACTCAAAAAGCAGCACATTACCTACAAGTATCTCTGCCTAGTATGACCCTGCAACAGAAAGAGACGCCCTGTCCTACTTGCCTCACGAAATATTTATTGACTGGAGTGCATGCAATTAAGAAAATTATTTCCGAGTTCTTCCTGCAGGACAGGCCAGTGACACAAGATTGAAAAACTCCCACTTCCCAAACTTTGTTTCATATATTACTCTCTATGTGCTTGTTCATTACTGAGCTGGCATTAAATAATGTTTGTGTGGCTTTCTGTAGCAACTTCTCCAGCAAAAACATACCCAAGCATATAGCTGGGAGATTTAATTACCCCTGCAGAGAAATGATGATCAAACCCATTTGACCAATCAGCCATGCCCCATATATGAATTTATACAGCAAAACCTTTGCTGAGAAAGGGAATATGGGGTAGTAACTCCAGAGTATCATGCCTAAAAAAACCAAACCAAACCCACCATGATGGGTAGTTTGCTGCAGGTTCTGTTGTACAGACATCCTCCAGAGACAGGCAAAAGTCAAACTAGATATTAATCTTTGCAGAAAATATCATCTTTGTAAAATACTCCATAATCTAAAGCCTCAAAGTTTCAGAAACAAATGTGCCAGTTATTAGACTGAAGGGTTAAGTTACATCTTCATACTGTCTTTGTGGTTTGAAAAGCTTAACTAGACATTTTTATTTTTTTAAGAATAAATATTTTGTTCCTCCATGATGTTATTCATCTGCAGAAGATTAAATGCCCCCACAGACAAACACACATTTTACACTTTGAGAAAATGATAGCTTATATACGAAAAGATTTGCTTAGAATAATCCAAAAGATAAGTAGATAAATAACAGGGGCTGCAATATAAATCAGTTTTCTGACTCTCAATCTTTTCTGTTGGACCAAGATAACCCATTTACTTGAAAGAAACCTGTGTTTTCTTTTTAAGAAATTACATTCTACTTTGTAATACCCTGAAATACTTTCATTCTATAAAACACGACAGCAAAAGGAAAGAGATAGAAGTGTTTAGGTAACCAGAGTTATAGAGATTTCCTTCTAATATATCATGAATCGCAACCTTTACTGACATATGACGGGAATGTTTCCAAGGACAGACTTTGTTTTAGCTTTTGTGTTTCTCTTTACAGGCTACATGCTTTTTTCATATTAGGTTTCCTACTCTCCTTCACACTAAAGGTCACAATATAATGCTTTTATCTTGCTAATATTCTATGGATAGCAACCTGGTCCTTTTCTAGAGCCAGTTTTTCGTTAAAGAAATGATTACCACCCTCCAACTTCTGGCCACAAACCTCCCACTGATGCCTCCACTCATATCTGAGCAGAGCAGCCTGTGTGACAAGCAAATTCACTAATTTGCTTCAGGCAAAGTCAGCTGTGGTGGTCCAAACAATTTAGCCAACTACTGAAGTCACACAGCAAAGTTTGTCTGAAGTGAGCAGGAGAGACTGCAGAAGCAAGTCTGCCACCAGACTTGTGGCAGCAGCATCACCAGAAGCAATGATAACTGAGTTGCAGGTATTGGTCATCTCCTCCCACCAGCAAAGTTGGACCTGGAAGGAAATCTCTGGCCACATCCGAGTAACGCAAATAAAGCAATAAGACAAATTTCTCTTTCAAACAAACTAATTGCATTAACACACACAACATTTTTTTCTGAACGCCATTTAAAAATTTCCCTCAGTTGTTATTCACAGTTTTTGCTCAAGTGCTTATTCTCCCTGGAGATTGCTCCAGGGTTTCAAAACAACAGATCACTGCTATGGTTTACAGAGTATCACACATTCTGCTTGTTCACCAATCTCCTTACCTGCCAGATTTGTTCTTCACTGAGTGAAGTGAGTCTATCACTTTTAAAAACCTCTCGAAGGAGACAGTATGGGAGTGCCAGAACTTCTTCAGGATGACTCTTCAATAGCTCAGAGAGATGTTTTACTAAGAAGTCAACCACTGCATTCTCCAACAAAGTGAGGTTGAAGAGGTCCGCAAGTTTATACAGGTCCAAGTAATTAAAACTATTTAATTCCTAAATGGGTGAAGCAAATAAAATACGTCTCAGAAAAAAAACAAAAACCAAAACAAAACAGAGAACAAAAACCCCCACAGGTCTCAGATAATGAAAAAAGGTTGTTCTTTTGGAGCTGCGGAGAAGGAAGGTAATATAACTTGAAATTAATTAACATAGCCTCATTCAAAATGTATGTGTAAATGTTACCAGTGCATATGCAAATATATATGATAGCACTAATTTATATTGCAACTGCTAAGGTTAAATATGCATCTGTAAGAAATATGGATTATTGCATAAAATAATAAACCAGCATGATTTACACTGCATGACAAGAGCTCACGGGCATTAACAAGTGGATTAAAAAAAAATGTATTTATTAACAACAATAGTTTGTTACAAAGCAATTGTTTGTTCATTATTTACTGTTTTGATTGAGCTAAAGCACCTGGGTAGTATGACTTTCAGTTCCATGAAACCTCACAAAATATGAGATGCTAAGCTACATTTTATTACGTATAAATTTATCTTCAATGAACAAACAGACCCTTTTTTTCCAACCACTGAAATCAACCCATAGTGGATGTTGACCTCGTTTTCTTTCTCCCCCTCCTTTTAGCAGCAGAAAAATCTGTGGAGACAAAAGCTACAGTAACTCAGGGCAGGATGCTTTTTCCATCCTGGTAATAGATAACCCACAGGCACGGGCTAGTGTTTTCAGGTTGGCATTCCTTGTAAATTAGCACCCAAACAGCAAACTACTGCTATTCTAGAGCACAGGCTCTTCAGGGGAGAGGCCAAGAATTCATCCCGATTAGAAAAAGCACCCAGGGCGTCCGGGAAATAAGGCTGTTTATCCGTTTTCTCTGTTCTTGCTGTATGCTCACACCTCTCCTCCTCTCCCCTCCGCAATCCCGGGTTTCATCTTCCAATTTACTGCCTTGCTCCCTATCAGCCGCCTTCTCCTTGACCAGCTCCATGTGTGAAAATGACAAGAAGTCTTGTCAGTTTCACTTTGCTGGTTAGTTAACATAGGGACTAGAGCAGGAAAGAGAAACAGACTAAATTAAGTCAATTTCACTTTCACTGCTCTGCTGGATGGAATGGCAGCACCAAATGAAACTGACAAGAAATCTTGTAAATGTCAAATGAGCTGCACGGCTGGCAGATAGAGCAGAGCAACAGGGAAGATGGGAAAGTGCGAAGAGGGGTTTTTTTGGAATGTTTTATGGGCTACATCTCGAAGGTGTGAATTGGGTGGCTGTCCCAATGACTGTGGAGCTGTTTATGCATATGCAATGGAGAGTGGAGAAAGAATTTTTTTCACCTGCTTAGAGGAGTCAGGACTGGAGGGAAATGAAACAAATTCCTGTGGAGGCTCCTGCTCGTTACACACCCTCCCGCTCTGAACGGCGCACCTTCCCTGGCCAGCTTCTACATATAGAGATAAATCCTATTCATTATCTACTTAAACTGCTGTACAGGTGTTTCACGTTGTTTTCTTGGAAGAACAAAGAGAAGTTCTTTACGTTGTCAGAACAAGCACTAACAGCCATCAGCCCGAAAGCCACAGACATCCTAGTGTCAGTTCCTCTTCACACCACCATAGAAGAGGTAAGGATACATCCTCCCCAGTTGCAGAAAGGAAGAGGAAAAGAATGAATTTTACATGAGAAGTATCAGGTCTGCGTGCTTTGCTCAGTGATTTAATATCTGCAGATCACAGATGGTACCCTCAACACCACCACTTCTGGCATGGCCATGCCATGGTGGCAACAACGCTTAGGAGCATCCTCAAAGTAAACAACAGGGCAGCTGATAACAACATGGTTTATTGTCCCTGGTTTGGAAGACTATCTTTTCAAAGAACTCCCCGACTGAATGAATGCCAAACACCCAGAAAGAAATTTCGAAGAGCTCCATGTACATTTATTGAGCTCTTTTGTAGTCAACAGCTTTATCTGGGGAGGATCAAAATCAACAAATAAACAATCAAGCATTGTGATCTCGGGATCGACAGCCCAAACAAAATACAGGCCATTAACAGTGTTAATGGAGGAGGAGGACAGATGGCTTTTGGTGGACTTCAGAAGGGGACAATACTAGAGAGAACATAATAAAATCTTCGCTAATTAGAAAGAAAGGGTAATATGATACACAAATGCGGGTTTTCCCTGAAAAATCTTCCCATTTTCAGTGAAATCTGAAATACACTGCTAATCTTCATTTTTGGTATGAGTATTTTTGATGATTCCCCAGACTTCCCTACCCCCTCAAATCAACACAAAGTTTTTCATGAAAGCTCTCATATAGTTGAAGAAGCCAAATATACTTATGGGTGGATAAATAAACTCTCAGAAGCTGTTTATTTACAATATTATTTATATGTGTTCACTTATTTCAAGTGTTTATTTATTTGTCTATTTATGTATTTATTATGGGGGTTTGGTTTTTTTTACTTATTTTCATTGGCAAGCATCAGAGGATTTTTGATACTTCACCTAACATAACGTGTTAGTGACCTGCTGGACTTATGGATTACTGCTTGATGAATATTACAGGTGTATTTTGTGAAAAGTGGTCTTAGCCTGTCATCAGAACTATCTGTTTCTGGTTTTGTAAGGATAGAATTGATCTAGAGGATTCTATTTCACAGCCAAGGAAGCAAGTAGTGCATTAGATAATTTTCATTTGTTAAAGCTAACTGTCATACCAATATTCAATTTAAAATTAAACAGTGCTGTACAATACTGTCTCTGTGATGAAACTAAAGGGCAAAAAATGTCACGCTGAGATTGCAAGGTGTATACCACAGATCACATAACCTAGCTCCTCGTAGGCAGCAAAGCTTTCAGAAACATCAGACTGAAATGCAGTGTTAGTTCCAAAAAAATTAAAAAAAATAATCAGGAATAATTAAAGCAATCACTGTCAACTCAGTCTGACTTTGAAATTCAAACTGAAGCCTTAATTGAATTAAAAACTTTGTTAAAAAATGAAATAGGTTACTAAGGAGGAAATTTAGGTGTGGTCACGAATGAGTTATGGCAGTATCTGTTTTCCACAAATTCCATTATATTGTATTAAAAGAATAGCTACAAAATTTAAAAGCCAAGTGCAACTTTCTTCTGATCGTGTACCACAGCAGACGTTCTTTAAAAATATGCAATACAAAACAGGCTTATGTAAATTATTGAAACTTTTAATCTTGTTTTTATAAACTTTTGAATATATGCCACTTATCTTTTTTGAACTGAAGGATGAAATATGAACACAAGCAGAACTGTCACTAAGAGCTGAAGAGAATTAGGGAAAGGTAGTGATCCTATCTCTTCTAATACGATGTAAGTTACGCTGCTGAAACACATTCAGACTAAGAAAATACGTGTAAGATATAAACAGATCTTACAAGTAACAGTTGAAATAGTTCTAAAATCTCACAGTAAACTCAAACCAATTTAATAAATTGGCCAAATTATTTATCAGTGTCTACTTCTAAAATGAGGAACTGCCTTTGATCCTGTGCATTCTACTTACTATACATCCCCCCGCTTCCCTTCTCTCTGAAGTAAGAGAATCCATTGTTCTACACCACTGGTCTCCTGATTCAGTAGCATCAGCCTTTAGATGCCAAACCAATTTAACAATGAGCTGACATTTAAAACCCCACGTAAGAGTTTTCTGAACAAACACAATTGGCAAGATGACAATATTAAATATTCAAAATAAATTATGCGACATTGTCCATATTTTAATTCAGAGGTGTATTTTAATATAGAGATATGATAAATTGTCAAACAGGAAAAATAGATATAAACATTGTATTTAAATTACTTCCGTATCCATCTTTATTCGTTTGTACTTTTAAAGAATAATTGCCTTGCACACGCCACAGAAAAGGATGTAACAGATTGATAAATTAGAGTTAATCATAACCAAATACACAGCAGACTACAATATACCTCTATTCCTCTGCTCCGTGTTATAAATAGCAGAAAAAGCACAAGGAGAACTAAGGGGAAAGAATGCATTTCTTTATGACCTTATTTGAAAGATAAACTCCTTGGGGAAATACAATTTATTCAGATTATCAAGACCCTGCTGTGCAAATCTACAGTCTGGGAGCACACTACAGAGATCAAACAATATTTACTTTATTCTGTTGGGTATAAAAGCTTTTAATGAATGCATAATTAAGACAGAAAAAGTATATACAGCTTTAGAATTCCACTGCCAAGCCAAGCCATTAATATCCAAAGTATCGTACCCAGTTGTAACTCCACCTGCTTCCTATTTAGATTACAACACTGTTATAAATCAAGGTATTAAATGACTAGTCCTGCTGCTGTAACAGAGAAGAGTTGCACGGTGACACTATTTCCCCTTTTCCTAAAAAGGGTTCAGCCTCTTTAAAGCAAAAAAAGGAAGTGTGAAGTCTCTGGGACAGGGACATGTTTATTCAAAATCCTTAAGCAGCCCAAGTCCTCCAGGTTTGTTCTCTGCTACGTTAAATACTCTGAACCAGCTGCACCATTCAGAACAGAACCTTGACATAAATCATAGCAAAGACAGACTCTAAATAGATAAGGGATAGGAACAAAATGAAAAATTGTAGTGACAAAAATATACTTATCTGACGACAAAATGGAACAACACAATTTTAAAAGAAACCCACCCCTGTTGGTTCTAGCTCCTCCTTTCCATATCAAAGGTTCTAGTTCTGCAAAACCTCATGCATCGACCTAAGAACTAACAGCTCATGCACGTACCCAACAGCACAGAACAGACATACCTAATTCAGAATAAGTATTAGCACAAATCCTTCAAAAATTGAATTTTAGATCTTATTTGAAATTTTCCTCCACTAAAGCATTGGAATGGGCTGCCCAGGGAAGTGGTTGAGGCATCATCCCTGGAGGTGTTTAAAAGGTGGGTAGACACAGCACTTACAGACATGGTTTAGTGATAGTTTTTATCAGAGTTAGGCTGATGGTTGGACTAGATGATCTTAAAGGTCC